GGGGAGGAAACCTTTAGGAACTAGAGGAAGGTTGTATTTCTCATCATTGTTACATCGCACCCTGACTGGCTCATCTCCTCCCCGAGACCCCTCTGCTATAATTAATTCTTTATGAGAGTAGAAGGCCCTGTCTTTCTCTCGTTTCTCCCACCAGATTTTTGGTTTCTTTATATTCAGGTTTCTTCCCACAGACTCCTTTAAAAATTGTAATGCCTAAAATTTCAGCGTAAATTCTACAGCTTTTGAAAGCTTCATTTAAATTTCCTGCAGATTATAAAATGCTGTATAGGTATTTGAGAGAAAGATCATTAAGGTCAAAATATCCTCTCATTACTTCATTAAGCGTACAGTCTCCTGGTTTGCTGTGGAGTCCCTCTTGAGTCACAGTGACCCCGTGTGTTAGGGAGTAGAATTGCTTAATAGGATTTCCTTGGCCAAACTTTAATGAAAGCGGGCCACCAGCCCTATCTTCTGCTGTACCGCAAAACCCACACTCACTGCCATTGAGTTGATTACGACTCATAGTGACCCCATAGGATAGAATAGAACAAGCCCTTTGGGGATTGGAGGTTATAAATCTTTTAAAGAGATGATTACCTCATTATTCTCCCACAGTAGGTTCTAACAGCTGACCTGGAAGTTAGCAACTCAATTTAACCCACTATCCACTGGGTGAAAACCCAATCAGATTTGCACCATCCAGGATTTCAAAGTCTTGTAGATTCCCATTTTTTTCACATCTGGACTTATACAGTATCCTTTCTCCCAAATAACAGCATTTTACATTCAGTAGGAAATTTAAACGAAGTTTTCAAAGGCTGTATCATTTACGCTGAAATTTTAGGCATTAAAATCTTTAAAGGACACCGTGAAAAGAAAACTGAATATAAAGAAGCCAAAAATCTGGGTGGACAGACAAGAAAAACATCCGAACAGAATTTTAAAACACCTAGTGATTTGTGTTGGTAACCTCAAGTAAGCAGTGCTTGCAGAGCAAGGTTGGATGCGTAACTTC